CCTCCACATGAATAGGAATTCACTTTGTGAATAATAAGAATCATATATCGCAGCGGGGCATCAGGATTTTGAGATGCTTAGGTGGGACATGGCCAAAAAAAGGTTGGGAACCACTGGTCTAACAGAACTGTTATTGCCCTGACCAAGAGAACAGGTTTACACATATTTCAGGAAACATTGGAACTTCTCTTGTGCTCTTCTGCTATATTTTGCACCTCTTACTTGAGGTAAATTGTGCCTTGCTCAACACATAGCCACAATACGGACATAGCACAATATTCACAGATCGTGTTGTTACAGGATTTATTTCTCATTATAATAAAAATGAGCTTTAAGTCTAGTGCAGGATACAGAGAAATAAACAGACATTCCTGTCTAGGACAATACATGCTATGCAAAGGGTAGAACAGAATGTTGCAGAAGCACATAGGAGTCATATCTAACAAACTGGGAGGTAGGAGGATGCAAGCATTAGAACACACCTCTTGGGGGATGTGATTACTGAGTTGTAACCTGATGAGAGAATCAGAGTTACTCAGGTTGCAAAAGATGGAAACATGTTCTGGGTTATTGGGACAGCATGGTGGGAGCGTCAGAGGTAAATCAGACCTAATTAAAGGGTATTTAGGAATTAAAAGGCATTCAGTAGTTAAAAATATGTCTACAGAAAAACCTGCATGTGAATGTTTATAGCAGCTTTATTCATAATCACCAAAAACTAAAAGGAACCAAGATGCCTTTCAATAGGGAAAAAATAAACACACTGTGGTACATTAACACACTGGTATACTATTTCCCAATAAAGAGAAATGAGCTATCAAGCCCTCAAAGGACATGGAGGAACCTTAAATGCATAACACCAAGTGATAGAATCCAATCTGAAAAGGCTACATATGATCTAACTCTATGACCTGCTGGGAAAGACAAACTATGGAGACAGCAAAAGATCAGTGTTTCAAGGGCTCAATGAGAGGGAGGGATGAATAGGAGGAGTACAGGGGTTTTTAGGTCAGTGAAATTATTCTGTATAATAATTTAATGGTGAATACAGGTCCTTATACATTTGTCAAAGCCCATAAAATGTGCAACAAAAGAGTGAACCCTAATGTAAACTGTGGACTTTTATTAATGGTAATGTATCAGTGTTGGCTCATCAATTGTAAAAATGTACCATATTAATGCAAAATGTTAATAATAGGGAAAACTGTGTGTTGCGGGTAGTGATTGGGGGCTCTCTGCTAAATTTTTTTCTGTAAACCTAAAACTGATCTAAAAATTTAATATATTATAAAAATGATCAAGGACCTTAAAGGAATAATGGATGATCTTAGTGAGAACTTAAACAAAAGATAGTAAGCATGAAATAGGACAGAGAAGTCATGAAAAAGAACCAGTCAGAAATTAAGAACACAGTATCTAAAATGAAGAAACACTAGAGGGAATCAACAGCGAGTTAAATGAGGCAGGTGATCAAGTCAGTGAGGACAAGATTACAGAAAATACCCAACCAAGCAGGAAAAAGAAAAAAGGAATTTTAAAAAATGAGGAAAGTCAAAGAGACCTCTGAGACAACATCAAAAGTAACAATATTTACACCATAGTGGTACCAGAACAAGAGAGAGAGCAAGGGATTGAGAACCTATTAGAAGAAATAATGGCTGAAAACATCCCTAACCTGATGAAGGAAAGACACACAAGTGTAGGAAGCTCTAGAGAGTACCAAACAAGAGGAACCCAAACAGGCCTACACAAAGACACATCATAATTAAAATGGCAAAGATTAAAGATAAAGAGAGAATCTTAAGAGCAGCAAGAGAAAGACAGTTACAAAAACAAAAACAAACAAACAAACAAAAAACAGCATCAACAAAAACTCTCATAAGGCTGTCAGCTGATTCCTCAACAGAAACACTTCAGGCCAGAAAAGATTGGCATGAAATATTCAGTGATGAAAAGCAAGGACCTTCAACCAAGACTACTTTACACAGCAAGGCTATCATTTAAAATAGAAGGTGAAATAAGAGCTCCCCAGACACCCCTCCCACCAAAAAAAAAAAAAAAAAAAAGAAAAACAAAGCTAAAGGGAGTTCATTACTACCAAACCAGTATTACAAGAAAGGCTAAATGATGTTATTTAAGAAGAAGAAAGGAAGAAATATATCAAGAAATCAATCATAAGAAAAATAAACTGAATGACACTAAAAGGCCTGGAAGGTAAATAGGATTACTAAACAATGACCGAGATCATGGAAGAAATCAAAAGATACTTTCAGATAAATGAAAATGAATACACAACTGGAAAATCTATGGGATACAGCGAAATAGTTAGAAGCAGGAAATTCATAGCAATATAGGCCTACCTCAAGAAGCAAGAAAAAGCTCAAATAAATAATATAATCTTATGCCTAAAAGAACTAGTAAAAGAAGAACAAACTAAGAGCAAAGCAAGTAGAAGAAAGGAAAGAATAAAGATTAAAGCTGAAATAAATGACATAGAGACTAAATGACAATGCATAAAATCAATGAAACCAAGAGCCGGTTCTTTAAAAAGATAAACAAGATTGACAAACCTTTAACCAGACTCATAAAGAAAAAAGAGAGAGGACCCAAATAAATAAAATCAGAAATAAAAGAAGTAACAACTGACATCATAAAAATATAAAGAATTATAAGGAAATATTACAAACAACTATATGCCAAATTGGATAATCTGGACAACATGGATAAATTACTAGAAACATACAATCTTCCAAAACTGAATTAGAAAGATTCAGAAAATCTGAATAGATTGATTTTGACTAATAAAATTGAAGTGGTAATAAAAAAATTTTTAGAAAAACCAAACTCCCAGCAAAAATAAGTTCTAGATCAGATGGCTTCACAGGTGAATCTTACCAAACATTCAAAGAAAAACTAACACCTATCCTTCTCTATTCCAAAAAATTCGAGAGGAGGGAAGACTCCCAAGCTCAATTTATGAAGCCATTATTATACTAATTCAAAACCAGATAAAGACACTACAAAGAAATAAAATTATAGACCAATATCCCTAATGAACATAGATGCAAAAATCCTCAACAAAATATTAGTAAGCCAGATCCAGCAATACATTAAAAATATTATACATCCAGACCAAGTGGTATTTATCTGGGAATTCAAAGTTTGTACAATACCCACATATCAATAAGTGTGATATACCACAAAAACAAAATGAAGGATAAAAAACAAATGATCATATCAATAGATGCAGAAAAAGCATTACATAAAATCTAGCACTCATTTGTGATAAAATCTCTTAGCAAAATGGGTATAGAGAGAACATAGTTCAATATAATAAAGACTATATTTTACAAACCCACAGTCAACATCACATTCAATGGACAAAAACTGAAAGTGTTTCCCTTAAGATCAGGAACAAGACAGGCATGTCCACTTACACCACTCCTATTCAAAATAGTACTGGTAGTCTTAGCCAAAGCTACCAGACATGAAAGAGATATAAACTGCATCCAAATTGGAAAGCAAGAAGTAAAACTATCATTATTTGCAGGTGATATGACACTATATGTAAAAAAAAAAAAAAAAAAAAAAAAAAAAAAAAAAAAAAACTAAAATTCCACAAAAAATTTACTAAAATCAATAAATAAATATGGTGAAGGAGCAGGACACAAAATTAATAATCAGAAATTGGATGCAGTTTTATACACCAATAATGAACTATCAGAAAGAGAAACAGAAAATAATCCCATTACAATTGCATCTAAATAATAATAAGAAGAAACCTAGGAATAAATTTAATCAAGGAGGTAAAAGACCTATAGTCAAAATTATAAGATACGGAAGAAACAAATTGAGGGAGATACAAATAAGTGGAAGCATATACTGTGCTCATGGATAGAAAGGTCACAGTAATCAAAACAGCATGGTACTAACATAAAGAGACATATAGATCAATGAAACAGAACAGAGAGCCCAGAAATGAACCCATGTCTTTATAGTCAATTCATATTTGACAAAGGAAGCAAGAGCATACAATGGAGCAAAGACAGTCTCTCTTCAATAAATGGTGTTGGGAAAATTAGATACATGCAAAAAAAAAAAAATGAAACTAGACCACTAACTCACACCATACACAAGATTAAACTCAAATGGATAAGACCTAAATGTAAGTTGTGAAACCATAAAAATCCTAGAAAAAACCATAGGCAGAAAAATCTCAGACATCTCTCGTAGCAATATGTTTACTAACACATCTCCTAGGGCAAAGGAAACTAAGGAGAAAATAGACAAATGGGACTACGTCAAAATAAAAAGCTTCTTCACAGCAAAAGAAACCATCAACAAAGTGAAAAGAGAGCCCACTGCATGGGAGAATATTTGCCAATGATACATCTGATAATAGATTAATTTCCAAAATATATAAGTAACTCATACAACTTAACAAAAGGAAGACAAGCAATCCAATTAAAAAATGGGCCAAGGACCTACATAGCACTTCCAAAGTGGACATACAGAAGGCCAAGAGACATATGGGAAAGTGCTCAAAGTCACTAATCACATAAGTGATGCAAATTAAAACGACAATGAGGTTTTACCTCACTCCTGTCAGAATGGCTATCATCAATGGATGCCCTTTCAAAGAACAGCTCTGACTGCAGTGTGGAGGCTTATTACAAAGAGGAAAGATGAGAGAAAGAGAGGCTGGCTGCTCTTGCTGTCATCAGTGGGAGAGCCCAGTGGCCTGCACTATAATCATGGGAAGGACACAGTAAGGTGATGGAGTAAAGAGGTTATTTAACCTGGCATAGATTTATTTATTGGATGGTTGAATGTAGGAAGAGAGAAAGGATATTGAGCAGATTATAAAAATGCTAACAGATTATAAAAATCAGATTATAAAAATCATAACAACCATGTATAAGGTATGAGAAGCATGTTTGACACAGAGGCTTCTGGAGAGAAAGGAAAAGTAGACACATTCAATAGGCCACCTGTCTTAAACAGCAGCTTTAAATTTTCTCACTCCTTTAAGAAACTTTATAGAAGGAGATTATAAAACAATTGCTAAAGAAAGGAAGCTACTACAAAATAAGAGACTGGATTTGGATGCTGCAAAAACCAGACTAAAAAAGGCAAAAGCTGCAGAAACTAGAGCTTCATCTGAACAGGAATTAAGAATAACTCAAAGTGAATTCGATCGTCAGGCAGAGATTACCAGACTTCTGCTAGAAGGAATTAGCAGTACACACGCCCATCACCTCCGCTGTCTGAATGACTTTGTAGAAGCCCAGATGACTTACTATGCACAATGTTACCAGTACATGTTAGACCTTCAGAAACAACTGGGAAGTTTTCCATCCAGTTATCATTCTAACAACAATCAGACTTCCGTGGTACCTGTACCATCTGCTTCATCAAATGTGATTGGTTCTTCTGCCATGACTTCAAGTGGCCTAGTAATGACCTCTCCTTCCAACCTTATTGACCTTAAGGAGGGCAATGGCAGCAGAAAGGCCAGGGTTCTATACGATTATGATGCTGCAAACAGTAGTGAATTATCCCTTCTTGCAGATGAGGTGATCACTGTGTTCAGTGTCGTTGGAATGGATTCAGACTGGCTAATGGGGGAAAGGGGAAATCAGAAGGGTAGGGTGCCAATTACCTACTTAGAACTGCTCAATTAAATAGGTGGACTATGGAAAGATTATCCATCATGACACCCTATTTATATACAACTAACTCTAAATAAAGCAGGTTTAGTATCTTCCATGTTAATGTCTTAAAGAGACTGGAAAGAAAATACCAGCCATCAGAAACGGGCTTTCTGCCAATAAAATTGCTTGGTAACTATTTCATTACAGAATTTATGTTAGAACTTTCATACCAAGAATGTTTTCTTACAAAATTCTCTTTCTACTGAGGTTTCACTAATAAGCAGCTTCTACTTTTGAGCCCCAACTTAAAACAGAAGAACTGTTTTCTACTGAATTTTTCATTAATGGCAAGCTTTTTCTTTTCTGTAAAATAAATTTATTGTGAATTGAAAAGGATACCTTAGCAGCTATATGTGGGCCTGTGTTTAAGCTGTGGTCATCATCTGGTAATTATTCTTTTAGCTTTTCCATAAAATTTGAAGTGTTCTGCTAGACATCAACCAAGTATTGAACAGGTCTTATGTCATTTAAAGATAAGAAAAAGCACTTAGAGTTTCCTCAGGGCATGTACTAGTATTTGGTCTAAAGCTCCTAGCTTTGAAAAACTGTGGCCATCTGAGAAAATATTAGTATTTACATGTGAGGAAATTGTGGTTATTTATCTTTAAAAAAATACCTAAATTGATATCTGCTTAATTATAAACATAATATATATGCAAAGTAAGAAAAAAAGTGGAAAATATAGAAAAACAAAACAAAGGAAATACAAGTATTCATACATACTATTACTATCCAGAGATAAACAGTTGATATTTAGCTTTTTAATATATTTTAATTTGAGGCCATAATGCACATCTTAGATTTTGTGTTATTTTTTTTTTAATCTGAACAACTGAGTTTTTATGGTAGATAGAAACTACTGCCACAAAGAGACCCAAAAATATAGTAGTTTCATCAAGATATAAGCTTTCTTCTCTCTCGTGCACAGGTGCAGAGGTGGACTAGGGTCTTAGGCAGCTCTGCTCCTATGGTTGACCAAGGACCCAGGCTCCACGTGCCTGGGCCATTGCTCTAGGCCATATGGTTGAGGCAGGCCAGCAACATCACATCACATTCCAGCCAAAGGGAAAGATACAGAGAAGATAGAAGGCAAGCAGCTTCCACTTTTAAGGATGTGCCCTGTTGGTTGGTTACTGCTTTTCTGCCCACTTGTCATTTGCTAACATTCAACCAGATGGCTATACTCAGTGATAAGGGAGACAAGGAAAAGTTGGTCACCCATTGCCAGCCATATATCTTGCAAAACCCTAGCATGGGAGAGTTTATTACTAATGAAAGGAGAAAATGGATACTGGGAACAGTTGCCATTGTTTGCCTCACGTCCCCTAATTATTCATCTGTTTACCCCTATCTACACAGAACATGCTCCTTCACCAAGGGGACAGCCTAAAGAACCATCCAGTTACTACCATATCACCTCAAAATTCAAGATTTCTGGGTGACATCAAGTCCTCTCCATCAGGGCTGGAGGTGCCTGGATCTGGAGACTTTTAAACTAATAGGCACTGCCCTAGCTGGTTTGGCTCAGTGGATAGAGTATCAGCCTTCAGACTGAAAGGTCCCGGGTTCGATTCCTGTCAAGGGCACATGCCCAGGTTGTGGGCTCAATCCCTAGTAGGGGATACACAAGAGGCAGCAGGTCAATGATTCTCTCATCATTGATTTTTCTATCTCTCTCTCCCTCTCCTCTCTGAAATCAATAAAATATATATATATTTTTTTTTTAAAAAACTAATATGCATGTTTTTTCTGGCATCTTCTCTATACTTACGGTTTAACAGTGGAGTCAAACAGGAGAGCTGCAGTAAAAACTCCCATTTGGAAAAAGGATGAGTAGGAAAGAATCATATGGTCCTTAAGAATGATGAAATCTTACTGGGAAGGAACTGGAACAGGTCTCTGCCACATCCAATGAAGGAAATTCCTTGGTCTATAGACAGTAGTTCCCTCTGGGAGAAAGTCCTTCACCACTGACCTCTCAGAAACTCTGCCAGTCCATTAACTTCTGTGCCCACAACAAAAGTGAGGGGAGGAGAGCATGCCTTAATAAGGGGTACAAGACTCTCCTGGGGGTTGCTTTAGGGATCAGAAAATTACAACTTTTGCAGACCAGTTTTGTGGGTTCTTTGATCACATCATTCTTTCAAAATTCTTAGCAGTTTTCTAGACCCTTTGCTACCAATCATTTTCATGAACATGTAAAGATAGCCAAAGAGCTTGTCTGCATAAATCTTCAGTTTATGAACACTCATTTGTTTTCTCGTCTCTGTAGTTTCTCTCTAATTCAACAGCAACTTTGAGGCCATTTGAAATAACAGGCTTGAGTGAGACAACAATTCACTTAATTCTATATTTGCCATTGGATTGGCTCCTATGGTTCCATTAACAGGCGGCCCCGGAGGAAGGCTCATAGACATAGAATCATCTCTTTTTGTTTATGGTACTGGAACAGCTCAATTTTTCAGCTCCATGAGGACTAAATTACTAGAGTGCTAGTCACTACTAGATTGTAGTCTTAAGCACAGGGGGTCCCTCTCCAAGCCGTATTTTCTTCCATCTCTGCTAGCAAATTCTCACCAAACTTCATCTCTCTCTTCATTGCTCCCTACTGAAAGCAGCAAGGAGCAGCCAACAGAAGCCAACATTCTGATTTTGTCTGTTTCCCACAGAGCTCCAGGCCTGGTGAGCATGTAATCTGCCTTCAAAGTCATTACGGGGACCAGTTTTACCAAATGTTTTGCTGTGGTTTGACAAAAGTCACTAGCTTTTCTATCTGAAATATCTGTTTCCTTGCTGCCTATCACACAATTACTAAAAGATCAATTTTAAACACAATCCATTTTAACACAATTGCTAAAAGATCGCATGGTTGTTAAAGTGACACAGGTTATGTTCTTGTTACCTCGGCAGGATATTGTTTCTAGTCGCAATTTATGTTTTTTTCTAATGATCAGACTAGGCTACTGTTACAAAAGATCCCAAAATACACAATTGCAAAATAGGTGGAGATTTTTACCACAAAGTAAGGAGTTAGGGACATGAATGTTTCTCTGTTTCTGAGGTCACCTCGTGATCCAGGTCTCCTCTGTCTAGCTGCTCCTTCACCTGCTGGAATCCTGCTCTAGATACACGGCCTGGGCTTGCACATAAGCACCACATCTGCATTTCACATCTGTGAGTGGAGAGAGGTAGAGGTCAAGCAGTTCTTTTCTTTTTAAGGATGTGACTCTCAAGTGCTCACATCATTTCTGTTCACAGAATTATGAAGCTGGTGGGAGACTACGGTCCTTAAGTAGGGCTGGGGGTGTATTACTATATTCAAGATGCCTAAATACCTAGGGGGCGATTAGAGCTCTTCTACACTCATGAATGATGAGTATTTTCCAATATACTCAATGAATTTGCAAACAAAACTTTTACGGCAACAGAATACATTGCCATATCTCTCTATCACTGGACATTGTTTTCTATTTAGGCTATAGTATATATTCTGTATTTTTTAAAAATCTTTATTGTTGAAAGTAGTACAGATGTCCCTTTTTTCCCATTGACCCCCTCCCCCACGCACCCTGCACCCGCTCACCCCCAGGACTTCACCACACTATTTATTATCTGTGTCTATGGTTCTGCATATAAATTTTTTAGTTAATCTCTCCCCACCCACTCCCCTACCCCCGCCTTCCCTCTGAGATTATTCAGTCTGTTCTATGCTTCTATGTCTCTGGATCTATCTTGTTCATCAGTTTATTTTTTTCATTAGATTCCACAGATGAGTGAGATCATGTGATACTTGTCTTTCTCTGACTGGCTTATTTCACTTAGCATAATACTCTGCAGGTCCCTCCATACTGTCTCAACAGATCAGAGAGCCTTCTTTTTTACAGCAGCATAGTATTCCATGATGTAGATGTAACACAGCTTTTTTATTTATTCATCTAATGATGGGCACTTGGGCTGTTTCCAGATCATCTTTATTTAGCAATGATTTAATTGAGAGATGTACTTAGAAATGGAAATGTTATGCATGAACACTTTAAATGATTGACTAATTGCCTTCTAGAAAGATTGCATCCATTTGTAATTCCAGCTGCAATATATAAATCTGCCTCCCCACATAATCTCCAATACTTAATTTTTTCATATTTTAAAAATACTGAACCAGAGGCATGGAACAGACAGATAAATGTCAGTGTGGAAGAGGGTGGGGGAACTGGATAAAAAATGTTGAAAGGATTAGCCAAAGAACATATATGCATAGCCCATGGACACAGACAATAGTGTGGTGATGGCCAGGGGCTGGAGGCAGGGGCTGGGTGGAAATGGGCAAAGGGAGGAAAATGGGGGACATCTGTGATAGTGTCATCTGTGATAGTGTCAAAAATAAATATATTCTTGCCTTTAGAAGTATTTTTACTGTAAGAAATAAAATCATCAATGACAAATATTTACTGACTTCCTATAACAATACTTTCTCTAAAAGACCTAAATAGAATGATTTTTTAAAGGGCTTTATTTATTTTATGGAAATGTTTGGAAAGGCAAGAAGAATCAGGTTAAAGCACCTTAAACAAATTTTAAAGTGTATGTGTTTGTGTGTAAAACTCATTTTTTAATTTATAAAGTAAGCATATCATTGGGAAAAGTTGAGAGTAAAAAAACAGAAAAATATAAATAAAATTAGTATCACACTTAATTATATCAAAATAGAAAATTATCTTTTATCACTTTACTGTATACCTTTTTTTCTTCCTAAGTATTTATATTTACATTATTTACAAATTTGTTTTATTGATGTATCATGTTATATATCATGTTATGTTCTTTTTTCACTTAAAAGTATATTTATATATTTTCCCATAAGATTATAAATTCTTCAAAAATATAATTTTAATGTTATATGGCTATGACATAATAGAAGCTAGGATTTATTAAACATATTAAAATAGCAGCAATTGAATTGAATCCTTTGAAAACATTATGAGATCAATAATATTATAACCCTCACAGTGGAAGACTTCATTATTGTACCTAATTCCTCCCCCCTTCCTACAGAATAATGGTTCTCAACCAGGAATCATTTTTCCCACACAGAGACATTTCACAATATCTGGAGACATTTTCATTGTCACAATTGTTGAGGTGCTACAGACATCTAGTACATAGAGGCCAGGGGTGTTGCTAAACACCCAGTAAGTCATAAGACAGCTCCCAACAAGGAAGAATAATCTGCCCAAACAGTACTAGTGCCAAGGCTGAGAATCCCCGTGTTAAAGTCATAACCTTTATTGTGTGATTTTTGCCACTCCTTGACTTCAGTCCTTGATTTGAGGCAT